GAAAGCACGTTAAAAAATGCAAGTAGAAAAATAGGGACCACCAATTTTGGTGGGAAGGGAACGACGTTCCGTGCGCCTTCGAGCGTTGAATCATGCCAGCCACATGACTATGGAGACGTCTTCGGACAGCGCTGGCTCTTCGGGTTTGAAACGGAGGTGAGCAACGCCCGCTAGAATCGGGAACGACTAGCACAGATGTGCGAGGGGAATTTTTACCTATTTAATATTTATCCCAAGATATCTTTCCTCCTAGGCCAGGTCTCCTGTCCCGATTCAGACAGCGGACCGAGTTTCCTCTTGAGAGCCAGCCCTTCTCTCCTTCACTCCCCTGCTCCTTCCGCCTCTGAAGAAGACCGATTCGTTTCCGGCTTCGGTGGACTTTCTCTGACCATGAACCGGAACTCCGACGAGACGCCTTCTCAAATCCCGGGGAAGAGCAGCCCGCTCCTCTCCCTTCCCCTCTCTTCGTTGGAGCGAAGCGCCCGTCCGCTGCCGCCTCTCCCCATCCCTGAGAACTTCCTGCACGACGAAGTGGACCGAGAAGTGGAATTCCTGACCAGTTCGGATACCGACTTCTTGCTGGAGAAGTGCGCGAGTCCCAGTTTTAAGCTCTCGGCTCAGGGGAGGCGAAGTTTCAGGGGCTGCGGCCAGATTAACTACGCCTACTTCGACGCTCCGGCAGAGGCGAAGCCGCAACAGCCCAGCTGTCCCGAGAACACCTGCCCACCCCCTCCACCGCCGCAACAACTTCACCGCCGGCTGCGCCGTTCTCATTCCGGCCCTGCGGGGTCCTTCAACAAACGGTCGGTCAGGGTCCCCAGCCACCTCTGTCCCTCCTCGCCCAGCTCCGACGACGACAAACCCGAGGTTCCCCCCAGGGTACCTCTTCCCCCCCGGCCCCTCAAACCTGATTACCGGAGGTGGTCGGCTGAAGTGACCTCCGGCGCGTACAGCGACGAGGACAAGCCGCCCAAGGTCCCTCCACGGGAACCTCTGCCCTGGAGCCATTCTCGGACGCCGAGTCCCAAAATGTTGCCGGCGTATCTCCACGGGGTCATGCCCCCGACGCAGAGTTTTGCCCCGGACCCGAAGTACGTCAGCAGCAAAGCTCTCCAGAGGCAGCACAGCGACGGCTCGGCGCACAAAGTACCCTGCATTCTCCCCATCATCGAAAACGGCAAAAAAGTCAGCTCCACTCACTACTACCTCTTGCCGGAGAGGCCCCCTTACTTGGACAAATACGAGATGTTCTTCCAGGAAGCGGAGGAGGGCGGCTTGAGGCCGGAGGAGGGAGGTCACGAAGCCGCCACGCTGGTCAAGGCTGACTTGGGAGGACTCGTCAAACGCAAACATTTGGCGTGCATGGTTTCTCCCTAGGGAATTTCAGCCAGCGTTGAAACGATTTTGAATCCGGGAACGACAGCAACTCCTCCTTCCAAGGACCCTGTGTAGAGACTTAGCCGCCCCTCGGCGTAAGCACGGGTAAGCGGAGTGGCCAGTGCTGGAGCCTCCTGGACGGCCGGCCATGGTGGCCACAGCTCAACTGCCGACACACAGGCGGGGGTGGAGTGGGGGAGACTTGGAAGGAGAACACGTCCTACACAACTGAAGTTGGCCAGTTAATTGAACATTCTAGAGCTGCGGTCTCAGGACGTTTACGGTTTTACGAACCGGTGGCTGGCGGTGAGGATGGCACGGAGCTCCCTTTGTTTGACCGGCGGCCACGCACGCGTCTGCCACTCGCACAAATGGCGTTGCGCGCGCACTGT